AGGCCTCCAGATGAATAATCGGGACACCACAGGAATAGGGACGCCATCCCCCAGTCTCATTTGGCCTTTTGCGACACCTTATCAAGATAGCAAATCCATGAGGCAGGGCAAGCAGGAGTTCGACTTTAGTATTCGCAACAAATCATGCATACCTAGGACCTCCATTGTGTGTAAAATAACTGCTTTTTCAGAAATATCTGCTTTTTCACCCCTGCGAGCGTTTTTCATCTTTGCGAGTGTTTTTCCTAATCATAAAATCTTTGATAATTCTGCAACTTCTGCACTCACGATTTTCGTGAACAAAGCGGATTTTGCCGGTCAAAAAGCGGATTTTGCCGGTCAAAAAGCGGATTTTCCTGCCATTGAATACGCTGCCCGCTCCAGGAAAACTATGGAAGGAAGCAAGGCTCCAAAAAGCACTTGTGAATCGAAACGGCGGATTTGAAATGAAACGACGGAAATTTGTGCTTTTTCATCAAACGGCAGAAATTTTACACAGCGGATGTTCTAGGTATTTTCTAGAGTCTTCTCCCAGTTGGTTGTCTAGACACTGCTTGCGTGGAGTGTCTGTTTGGCAGTCTGACTTGAGTCATTGAGGCGCGAACGCGTGATGGACTTTTGCCAACTTGCTGTGTGGACTTGTCCATAGGATATTATCCAATGCAGTGAGACCAACTTGGCCAACTTGGTGCGAAGCCACCCCTCTGACCTTTCGTTTGCACGGTGGGAGCTGCATCCTGACTCCCGAAGCTTTTCCTTTGGCTATTGACTCTCTATAGGACGACAGATGTTCAAACCAGGGCGCAGGATTTTGCAGTTTGGCATGGGACTTTGAAAGTGTTTGGCCTAGGTAGATGTTAAGCCAACAGCGTGCATACTAAAACATGTTTCGAGCACGTCCACAATGCCGTGTCCATCCCAAGACGACAGAAAGAGCCACGTCCGAAAGAACAAGTTGACCTTTCATGTTGGCCTTTTTTAGTTGCAAGGCAGTCTAACATCGTGAAGGTTCCGCGCATTCAGGTCCAACGTGTCGGAGATGGATTGGCAAGAGCTGGACTGGGGTGAGTCTCGGCACAAACCTTTGAGCACCTTTCAGGCCTTGCTGTCTGAGGATGTTCGAGGGCTGTCCCAAAAGAAAGGGGATGCCATTTTTGGACTGTTTTGTGACCCCGTTTGGCAATGGAGTAAAGAGCATGAGGGTCCAGCATAAGCCTTGAATTTGGAGCCGCATTCGTGTTGTGATTCTTGGCTGAGTTCGTTTTTGGGCTTCAAAGGGCGAAGCTAGGAGTCTTCAAGGCATAGAACCCACCAAAGGCCGTGAAGGGACCTGGGGTGGCCCAGAAACAGGTTACATGACAGGTAAGCCCACAGAGATGTTTGATTCGGGTCAAGTGGTCTGTTTGGCCTCCCGGTCCGCTTGATCGGAGGAACTCCTGGGCTTCGACTTCGGCCCGGGGAGCCTCAGCGCTTTGGGTTCCGACCTCTTGCTGGCATCTGCCACCCAAGCGCAGCTGCTGCACCTCTGGGGCAGGCGACTCCTCGAATCCGCGCGCGCGCGGGTTTTTTCCCCGGGGGGGGGGAGTCGGACAAATGCGAAAACACGAACCCGGGGGAAAGCGGTGTGCACCCGCAGGTGGCCTCCGAAGCCACGAAAAATGGTTAAACTCAAGAAGGGTGTCAAACTCTTTTTCGTCCAGCGAAAGAAGCGAGCCAGAACACGAGGTTCTTATGTTGCGCCAGGTGGTCACAAGCATCATCTTGGGGTGCCAAGTTGAGTGGATACTCCCTTCGGTGGGGTGATGTTGAGGTATATGGAAGTGTGAAACAGAGGACACAATGCTGGGGAGCATCAAAAAGTGACTCCCACACCCCACCACTCCACACCCTCCAACACCCCACCCCACACCCCACCACCCCACACCCCACACACAACCACGCCACTGCACACACCACGCTTTGGCCAGGCATTTGGCGAAAGGCGAACAGCTCCCGCTGCTTGGGAGTTTCTCCTTTGCGCCGATCATTGCACTGCTCGAGGACAAGAGCGAGGCATTCTTCAGAACCGCGGCAAAGGGTTGGCTCCGGAGTGACTGGTGAGAAACACGGAAGTATGGACTAGGGAAGGCGTGGATGGTAGAAGGTGGTGGGAGCTGGGCGGACTTGACCCAGCCCTGCCTTTTTGTTTGCCCAAAGTAAATCAACGCCATAGTGTACGGGGTCATTCAACCGGTTCATTCGACCCCATTCAGTACCTCTCAGTACCGTTCCCTTTGGCCACCTGAGAAAGCCCTCATTGGAAGCAACGAATGTGTGAACCGACTGGCCAGTTGGTTGATCGGTCGGGTGTGTGGAAGTAGCGTCGCCTGATGCAGTCCTTGTTTGCACCAGCTGAAAACCCAGACAGAAAGAACCCGACGTCAACTTTCACACGAAACAACCAGCCTTGAACCAACCGCCAAGCCCACGCAACAATTCCAAACATACGGCCGACATATAAATCTACCAGCACCAGGTAAGCATTGAAGCTTCTGGTGGCCTTGTTCTACCCCCTGAAATTAAGACCCATGTGCCAACGTGATGCAGTGAGCCTGGCCTTGGACGGGTTGACGGGCAGCGGTAGCTTCCAATATGGGAAAAGCTACCTGGCAAAACATTGAAGGGACCTTCTCTCAGGTGCCATGTTAGTGGGAAGGCGCGGCGCTTTTTCTGACCTTCAACCTTTCGACCTTTTGAGAGGACTGAGTTTCCCACTAGCTGGACGGCAATCATGTTTTATTGTTTGGGTCAAGCACACGGCAACTCTGAAACACTGTAAAGCGAGCTCACCCGTCACGGGGGTCCAAGTGTGTTGGTTTGTCTCAAAATAGGGTCACCCCGGACAAAGAATGGCTTCCCCTTGCAGTCCCCTTAAAACAAACCCATTAAGGGTTACTCGCCGCAAAGACGGCAAACCCTTTCCGCGAATGAAGATAGTAATGTTAACCATTAATAGGGGGGGGGGTCCCCTTTTAGCAGGGGATGCAGACCACTTTTGGAGGGAACACCCCCCTAATGGGACGGGTTTGTCAATCCTGGGTCAACATAGTATGTGGCCACCAGGGGACCGCAGGTTTTAGTCCTTGGTTCCAATTTTACCAGGGCAAGCCATTTTGGGTACCCATTTTTGACCCACAGCCTTGTGCCTGTGTGCCAACTGACACGTCGATCCGCCAGGTGTCTCTGCTTTTGCCAACGGCCGGAGCTCCTCAGCCAACTCAGCCCGTCAGATTTTGGGATCTCTGGGATAGCGATCATGGGCCATCTGTCTTTCAGAAGAGTCCCACCTGAAAAAAAGAAAAAACAACAACAACTGGGCCACATGTGCAGACCTGAGGATCTTCGTTCAGAATGCAGACAATCACCCCAGATGCGGCGAAAATTAAAACCCCCAGATGTCGAGCAGTACCTGCTTGTTGCCGCTTTTGCAAAACAAAAGCTGGAAAGCGAGCCAGATTTGGAGTGCCCTGGTCCGTTGAACCTGCCAAGGAAGTGTTTGGTTCACCGGACGTCATCTGGCTCTAAAATTGCATTTCTTGATGCCGATAGACACGTCACCTCACTAGCTGTGATTGGACCAGCGTTGTGCCATCGGCATGGCTTAGATTGAGTAAGCCAGCAAACAACGCGGCGTGGTTTCGCCAACTCCTCAATTGCTCTTTTGCCAGATGGGCGCAGTGCTGCGTTGTCGCAACATGTAGTTGGCTCTGATCATGATAGCATATCCGGAGCTATCGGAGCTATTCTCCTTGCAACCGAAAGGGGTGCCGGACCAACCATTGTGTTTGTTCACCCTGTTTGTTTGTTGTTTTGTTGTTCGCTTGCTTGCTTGCCTGCCTGCCTCTTTTTGTTGTGTGTTATTGATTGTTTGTGTGTTTATGTGTTTGCTGTTGTTTGTTTGTCCGTTTGTTTGTGTGTTTGCTTGTTTGTTTGTTTGATTGTTTCTTTTCTTTTTTTTTGCGTGTTTGTGATTCTATATGTTTGCTTGTGTGTTTTGTTTGTTTGTTTGTTTGTTTGTTTGATTGATTGATTGATTGATTGATTGATTGATTGATTGATTGTTTGATTGTTTTTTTGGTTGGTTGGTTGGTTGGTTGGCTGGCTGGCTGGCTGGCTGGCTGGCTGGCTGGCTGGCTGGCTGGCTGGCTGGCTGGCTGGCTGGCTGGCTGGCTGGCTGGCTGGCTGGCTGGCTGGCTGGCTGGCTGGCTGGTGGCTGGTGGTGGTTGGTTGGTTGGTTGGTTGGTTTGTTGATTGGTTATTTGTGTTGCTGTTTGTTTGTTTGCGTGTTTGCGTGTTTGTTTGTTTGTTTGTTTTGTTTGTTTGTTTGTTGTTTGTTTGTTTGTTTGTTTGTTTGTTTGTTTGTTTGGTTGTTTGTTTTGTTTGTTTGTTTGTTTGTTTGTTTGTATGCTTGTTTGTTTGCGTGTTATCATATTGGTTTGCTTTTGTTTGTGTTTGTGGTTGTATGTCACTTTGTTTTGGTTGGTTGGCTGTTGGTTGGTTGGTTAGTTGGGTTGGGTTGGGTTGGGTTGGGTTGGGCTGGGCTGGGCTGGGCTGGGTTGGGTTGGGTTGGTGGGTTGGTTGGTTGGTTGGTTGGCTGTTCTCCGACATGAGGCATCATAGACTTTGATGGATCACGTGGCAGCTGGTGCCATTCCTGTCACGCTTCAGTATTGCCTGGCTTTACTATGGATTCCAGTGGTTCAGCTGCACAATGTAAATCATGTTTCGGATTCAACATTTCAGTGTAGGCTCCGTGGGCCAACATGCCATTCTTTTCTTTTCTGCAAACATGGATTCTCAGGGATAGTGTCGAGGGCTGAAGGACCTGGTTGCTTAAATTTGCATACTGATAGGGCTAATTAATACCATCCACCCGGCTGAACAAATAGAATCCCCAAGCAAAGAAACTTCATCACGAGTGAGGTGGTAAACCGCTTTTTTTTTGCGAGGCAAACCCGCTTTGTGAGGCAACAATGAACTAGTGCACGCAGTGCATCATCTCACATACGGGTCCTTACTCGGCGCCAGTTTCAAGTGACCGCATGATGCGAAGATTTCACCGGGAACTTCACGGGAATTTGTCTCAACATATGGTGTGTCAAGCTCGAGGGCCGCTGCTTGGTTTTAAAAGGACGGCAACAGGAATGTGTTCCTGTTTGGAAGGGCTCGCATTCTGACAGCCAAGACGCGTCTACGTCTTGTTTGTGCTCACAGACATGTCTTTTTCAGGTGTGTTGGTCAGTTGTTCAGGTGACGCTTAATTGGTGGGTTGCATTTTGTGGTGTGCGCATTTGAACCCCTGATTCTTGTAGAGGGCAAATGGGAAACCACCCCTAGCCACCAAACCTCCGGGCTCCAAACCACCCATTGGTCACCTTCCGCGGGCTGGCGACGAAACACAAACATCAGAAGCGCCGCATTTGAGGCACCTGGCTCGGTGAGCCAACTGCAGCTTCGCTGGCCGTGCCTGCTGCCCCCGGAGCCTTGGATCGGTGACTGCAGGAACTTCAGGAAGTTGAGAAAAGCAAGCGGTTTTGGGTGGGTATTTGGATTCCGCAGACACCACCTGCGACACGCTCTGTTGCATCTCCCCGCTTTCGTTATCTTTTTTGGGGCTCGAAATCGAGCGAACAAAGGTGGGCAATGGATTTTTGTTCACCTTTTTGGGGCAAGCCTGTTTGCCTGTAGACATGGAAGTCTAGTATTGCTATTTCCATGGCTTCATTGCAGTTGGCAGACAGCGCCTAGAGTTTTTAAGGTGAGGCTGAAGAATGAACTAATCATAGCTTGGCTTGCGCTGTGTTGTTTGTTTTCCCGTCTTGTTAGTTCACTTGTGTCGTCCTTTGGCACGGTTCCTCCAAGTTTCTAAATGATGATGAGACCCCACGGATAGAAATCCTAAGGATACCCATCTGGCTTGGTCTTTGGTTTGCTATCACTGGGGCCCAACTTCTTGCGCTTCCAGAATTGTTGGAACGTTTTGAATGAAATGGCAGCGCCCAAGGACACCACCGGCTACCGCACCAGCGGCTGCGACGCTCTCTTCGAGCCCATCCTGGAGGAGGAAATTTGGGAGTCTGCTTCTTGTTGCTTTTAAAGCGATGTGATATTCAGAACACTAAACGTGGCGTTTAGAGCAGCGGATAGGTCAAGTACACCTTCGGTTTCATTATTACCGAAGGTGTACTTGAACCTGTTTCGGGTAATTAGACATAAAAAAGAAAAGACACCTTCCACCCCTAAGACCAACTTCATTCTTCTCTCTCCCTCTTCTCTCCCCCACTCCCTCTTCTCTCCCCCTCTTCTCTACAACGGCCACTTAAATTCGTCCCCGATGAAATCTGAAGCCAATTTCAGCAGTCCGGTTGGGGGTGCCCCCATACTGACTTGTTCAGTGGCCAATCCAGAAAGTGAAGGCCGGTTTGTACCGGTGGCCTACTTTCAACTTCGTTCACGAACTGGGCTCCCATAAATAGGGTTGCTGGATCTGTTTACTCGCGACAAGTGAACGTGACTGTCCGGCAATCCCTTGCCCCTAATTGCTAAACAGGGACTCACCCCCCTATTGATCAATAGGGTAGTTAGGAGTCAGGTGGGACAGGGAACCCCTTTGTATACCTCTTGTTGAAAAACACTAGTTAATACGTATAGGTGGAGGGAGGCAGGCAGGAGAACCCTGAAAAGGACTCCAAATTCTTGCTTGTTCAGCTGGGCATCGTTTGGGCGAGGAATCCGACCGTTTAGTATTGGTGTTGAATTGGCCTACTCTAAAACTAGTTTTTGGAGACCCGGCGGCTTGGGAAAAAAACGATTCATGAATAAATAGGCTATAGGGGGAATGAATTATTAGTGGTGTGCGAGTGTGCCCAAATTCCGAGTTGTGCCCTGTGTACCCTGAGCTCTGACTCGATATATAGATATTTACAGTTCGGTAAAAGTAGAGGTCGTTAATGGTTCGGGAGTCGTGGCCAATGTGCATGCAAGCATGTTTTAAACCACATGGTATGATTTGTCAGCTGTCCATCGTCATCATGTGTTGCAGCAACAACGGTTCGCATGAGGCAAAGTATCCAAGCACCACGGAAGCGACCAACCGCAGAGATTGGCCGACCCTCAAACAGGATCCTATTTGGGGTTTTGTGAATATATGTTTTGTCCACCTAGATGAGGCTCAGTGTCATCAGACTTGGCAGGAGTGCGTCATCAGCTGCGATGCGGGCTTCGTCGTGGAAGGCAGAACGTTCGCGCTAGGGGAATGGCCGGAGATGGCCCAAGTAAATCCTGCAAGTCTAAAGGCAAGTATACCTGGGTCTTCCCAAGTCTGTTTTTGTTTTTGTTTTTCCTGCCCTGCTTTTTCAGGAAGGTCATAATATATTTGCCTTGAGGCGACTTTCCTGAATCTTGTCAGTCTGGATGTATGCAACAAAACTGGCGGAGGCATTTTTCCCAATACAACGGCGATTTTCCGCGATACAAAGTCGTTTTTTGCCCTTTCTATGGCACGCGTCCCACAGGCGTTTTTTGAAGGAGAAGGCGAGTTTTGATGGAAACGACTAACATTTCCGTAGTTGTTTTTCCCAAATGCGTGGCAGAAGCGTTCTTGTTGTAGATAGTCAGCACGTGTTCCCCAGATGCGTCAGGGTGTCCGCAAGCGGTCGCAAGCGTCGCCAAAGTTGCTGTGCTGTTTCGGAAGGCTCACGTCGTAGAATCGCCGCGGTTTTGGCGGTCGAAGTCATTCTGGCGCCGCAGTCCCGCGCTCGCTAATTCCGGACAGGCGTCGTAAAGGTGTCAAAGTGGGATTTTGTGCCAGGCGCAGTACTCTGGTCATGTTTGAGTTCGTGGCGAACTCACTTTGCTGGGGTGTGAGATTGACCCTTTTTACAAATGAACATCCACTATTTTGATTGGCCTGGACCCTGAAACCCTCAAGAACTGGACGTTGCTCAAATGTGGTGGTTTCCCATTTAGATGGTAGTTCGAGGGTGCAGGCGCCGGCTTTCTCACATCCCTCCCGTAGGTCTCGGGCCCAGCGCGGTGTGTCCGCCGAGCGCGGCGGCGCCCTTCTTTCGCTTCGAGGGCTGCAAACCGAAGCCCTGCGCAGCGCCAAGCGACTCGGAATTTCATATGGGGGGTTCTTCAAATTTGGTCCTGTTGTGGTTGGTTGGCTGGTTTGTTGGTTGGTTGGCTGGCTGGCTGGCTGGCTGGCTGGTTGGCTGGTTGGTTGGTTGGTTCCCCCGAATGGTTGGTTTCCTTTGGGTTTCCCTGTAAAACCATGCCGAAATGGGTCCTCGCTATTTTCGGATGACTCATTTGGTGGTCTTGTGAGGGTACTGTTTGGTGTGTTTAAAGGGAACCAAAAGGGAGACTGTGTTTGGGGGGCCTAGTATTTTGACCATATCCACGTGTTGCTTCATGTTCCGTTTTGTTGGGAAGTTTAAATCAAAGACATTTGGGCCCCAACTCCCCTCGCACTTAAGGTGAGTGGTTGGCTATGATGTTCTTAGAATGGGGAATGCACAAACAATTGTTGGCGGACATGAATCCCCCATGTAAATGATGTCAGCCAAAGATCCCCAATGAACAACCAACTGAAATGGGTTTGTCCTTTTTGGGAGGAGACCCGTGTGTTGTGTTGGATTAAAGGGAGATCAACGGGAACAAGCATTTTGGGTGTCTCTTGTTGGAAGAACTCAGATGGCGACTGGAAAAGATAGGGCAGTCGTCCAACCAAGCATCTTGGGCCGTGTCCGGCCGATGGGGCTGTGAATGGTTTGTGGCTGCTGCGTCAGGCGTGCACAACGGGGGCGCGCCTAGCTGCCTGGGTTCTCCGGCGGTGCCTCACGGGGAGAAGTGCAGAAGCACCTGCCAGCCAGGAGGGATCCAAGCGATCCAGCGGGGGGGGGGGGCGGGGGGTGGAGGGTCCAAGTTGCTCTGAACCTCAAGGATCAGAGGACCAAGCCACACGGGGTAGATGTGCTTCCTTTGTGCCAGAGTGTCTCGAGTTTTCGGGGGGGGGGGGGGGGGTTGACTCTGTTGGCACTGGCTGTGATACATCTTGTTGAGGGGGTTGCTTCTCGGCCTTGTGGGGATCAACCTAACCGCCTAACCTTTGCAAGTGTAGAAACTGTTGTTCCCGGACGAAGACCACAGGGTACATCCTAGCAGGTAGGCAACACATGTTCCTTGGCGCGTCCTTCAAATCGGTCGTCCAACGTGAATAATCGTGCGACTGAGGACTAAATATGTCTTTGAACCATCGGATGGCCTTAGCCTGGTGCTCACCCATTTTAATGGGTCCGGTCTCATGCGGACTTCTCTAGGACTTCCCTAATGGAAAGCATGGTGAATCCCTTACGAAAGAGAAGAAAAGAGGAGGCGGCAATGTCAGTTCCGGGCTTCCGATAGGGAATCGCCAAAGCGGGCGATGAGAGGTTCGAGCACAAGCACAAATCTTCCCTTCGACTATAAAACGAAAAACCAAAATATCCTAGCGCAGGGTTGGACCCCGAGAAGGATCTTTTCAAGTGAAAGACCAGCTTGGGCCAGGCTACCGGCCATCAGTGCCTGAGCTGAGCTGCCAGGATCGGGATAGCCGCTCGCTGCCCGGAAATTTCGGTAGCTGGACTGGTGTTGCATTTCGTTTGTAAAAATCCTTTAAGTATGGCGGGAATTGTTGCCCTAGTTCAAAGTATTCCTACCCGCAAGCAACATCGATCATATGCAATAGTGGCTAAATGGAGATCCAACTGGGCCAAACAAAATGTTATTTGGCCTTACCATCAGCACACCAGTCCCGGCCTCAGATGGTTTGAGTTTTCAAGTCCCCCCCAAGTCGCCCCGTGCTTCTTTTGCCCCAAGCTTGCTTGGCTCCCCAGGGCTTCCCTGCGACGTGGAATTTGGCAAATGTTTGTTGTTTGCAGACGAACATCATTTGGAGTACAACATGTGTATGATTATGCGCATCCTTTATGACCACATGTGTATTGTTGCTTGTGCCCTAAGTGAGCGAATGCCACTTCATAGGGGCGCCTCCAATCAATGCAGGTCAAACCATGTCAGGAAGAGGTTGGAGCTACCATGTCAGCCACTGGTCGGGACATGCTTAAATATATCAAGGCTAAACCATATTATGTGGATAAGATAAGACATCAGCCTTTTTGGCGAAACTACTAAGAAGGAGAGGTTGATATAGTCGCCGCGCAGATGGAACTTTTTGTGACATATGCTTTTTTGATGAAAAGGGGTTCATCCAGCCTGAAACAAGAGCATCCTTGCTGTTACTCTTGGCTTCAAACAAAGGATCAACCAATGGAAGATCATAGGCAAAACCTTCTGGTGAACTAGCACCGCAAATCAGCGACAACAAGGCACTCAACAAATTGATGGTGACAAGTTGGTACGGCGTTTGTGTTCCTTCGCAGGGCCATGCCCAGAAGGCGCCGAGCCAGTGCAATTGCGCGGCCAGGTGGGCCAGTTCCAGCCCAGCAGCTTCGTTTGCCTCGCGGAGTGCTGCACGCCCGGCGAGTTGCGGCGATTCTGGACCTCACAGCCCAAGTTGAGTGGGTCGCGAGATTTTGCTTTCAAAAAAGGGGAACCATACAATTTGTTGCTGCCCTTTCGATTGTCCTTCAAACCGAGCCGACAAAGGGGTACTAAACATTTTTTGGAATCTTCTGCAACTGTTGACCCTTGAAACCCTTTCCTCCGTCAAACCGCTTCAATCCTAGCTGTGTGCGGTAGTGGTGCGCAATTCGGTCTACACATGTGTTTCGGGTGCGACTGGTTTTTGTTTGTACTGCTTTTGGCCGCAAAATAGGCGCAGGAAAAACAACAAAACCAAGAAAGCAGCAAGACGCAACCGAGCGCAACGAACAACAAGTGTGTCAATTGCGTTTGTTGGCATGCACTGTTCCCGCACAATGCCCTGATTTAGGACCGCTGTAAGCAACCCTGGAATGATTATTCCCCTAGAATGCAAACGAACAATGGTTTCTCATGGTTTCATAGTGATGCAGGATTTCGTCCATCCACCGAATGATGTCAGATTTAGTTTGGCTCCAATGTCCTTTGTTAGAATCTGCAGGGTGAGAATTTGAGTGGTGGAGTGGGGAGGTTTGCGGCTGAGGTGTTGCGGGGTAAAGTTATAAACAGTGATACAACCGCACAAGAAGGAATCTGAAGTGCCGTGATTTGTTTTTTTAGAAGTCTTATACCGCAGACCCAAAATCCCAGAGTGGAATAGACAAGCTGTGGAATCAGGGAGGGTGACTGAGGGATTCACAGTCACATGGTTGAGTCAAAACACACAAGGTCCTGAGTACCCATGAACATGCCCTTCGGTAGGGGGGGGGGCATCTGGGCAAATGACCTGTAGAATCTTAGCGAACTCTTTTGCTTTGTGACCGCCATGATGGAAGTGCGGTTGATAAGTGGCAACCTCTCTCTTACATCGGCGAAGTATGAAGATTCAAGCCAAATGGCGACCCTTTTGGGCTCCAACTTGGCACAGGATCTTTTTCTGCAAAGGCTTTGCTTCAGCCCTCAGGTGCCACGTTTGTTTGGCAACTGGGAGAGCATGGCTAGCATCAGGCCAATGCTCGTAACGTTCATTGCCAATGAGGCGAAGCAGCAACGAGGACCTTACAGGTTCAGATTCGGTGAATATTTGTGTTGGTACCCACGGGTTGCGCTAAGCCAAGGGAGACGGCAACTCGTTGTTTGTTTGGGTGAAAAATATTTGACCCGCCTGTTTTGTTTTTCAGCCGAATCCTTCTGACCTGGGTTCCCATTACCCTGAGTCCAAGATTGTTTCACAGCGAACCGTTTGGCAATGCACCCCATTCGCGGATCATTTCGCCAAAGGGTCTCAGTGGGACGGTCCCAGCACACTTTCCTTCCGGTAGCTTGAATTCCGTTCTTTGTCCAACAGTTACCCTCCCCCAGGCTAACATGGAAGCTTCCAGGACAACTTTGGAAGACATGGCTCCATTTGCAGAGGCCTTCTGGGAGCTTCCATGTTAGTCTGAGGGAGTGTAAACAAAGGGGCAAGCCATGGCAGGTGACGATGGTTCCAATGCCACCAGCTGCGTGCGGGCCTCGGTGATGAAAGCAGGCTTGGCACTTTTTGCAGGAACCTAAGCTCTGGCCTATGCTGGCCCCGGCTGCTTAAAGTGAGGATGGAGTTCACTGGTCAGCACAGCCGTGATGCATGGACTTATTTCATTGAGCAACCATGCACATCTTGATGCAGCTGCTGAGGGGTCCCTGTGTCCCTTCAAGCTGAAACAAGGCTCGTTTCATAAAACTCGCATAAAACACGACAAGATGTCCTGGGTTTCATAGAATAAGTTTGGATCTAAATTCCATTTTTTTTTTTCGCGTTTCTTGCTTGTTCTTAGTCGGGAGTCTGGGAATGCCCCTCAAGCCATATACATTGTTGCTGTTTCAGGAGTGGTGGGTGGGTCAACAAGTGAGCAGCGCCATAAACCCTGACAATACAAAGTAGTACGAAAGCTTATCGCGAAAGTAACCAAAGAAAGTCCCGCAGCGAAAGACCCGCAAAAGCCTGCATGCTGTGTGACAGTCCGCCGCGAAAGCGTCGCGAAAGCAATTCTAAAGAAAACAAAGCCCGCGAAAGCAAAACATGGGGTTGCGAAGGGGGTCCGCGAAAGCAAATTCATAGGACCGCTTTTTACACAAGAGTATTTGGCACGGCTCAAGCAAGATTACGTCTTCATAATTCCCGATAGAATCAGGGGGCCTAGGGTTCTGGGGCCCTAGGTGTTGCGGGTCTATGCTGTGAGTGGCCAAGTGATCCCTAAGTGGTAAAATAGTCATGGGGCCGGTTCAAAGGAACACCAAACGGAAATCACACATGTCAGGGTTCCCAGCCATTCTGAAACAAACCCATGTCCACTTCGGTTGGCCTCTCCAGCTCCAAGATTATTTTCCCCACACACTGCTGCTTTAAGAAGCCTCAGCTCCGCCACTTGCTGAATTGGCCTTGGGTATTAAATGTGTCTAAGTAGCAAGTTGTTCCAGGATGCCCTGTTGGTCTTAAGGTATCAAGGTTACTGGCTAATGTATACGTGTATATACATATATTAACATACACGCACTGAATCAGATAATCTATTATATATATAATATGTGCATGTACTATATATATATGTATATAGATGCAATCATAATATATATATATATATATATTAGTGCCTCCGGCTCAGGCCGCCGACATTACAGGCCTGCTTTCTTATTTGCGTCCCTTTGGAATTGTCCCCTTGCCCCCTTCCCCTCTGAGATTTTTGCCCCCCTTTCTTTGTTGAGATCCATTCCCCCTTTCCGCCCGAAGGCCTTTTCTCCCTCTGTTTTTTTCCCTTTTCCTCCCTAAGATGTTTTCACCCCTCTCCCTGTTGAGATCCTTTCCCCCCTTTCCCCCCTAAGGCCTTTTCCCCCCTGAGATCTTCTCCCTTTGCCTCCCTAAGATCTCCCAGATCGTCTCCCTTTCAGGGAGAAGATCTGGGAGAAAAGGACTTAGGGGGGAAAGCCCAACAGGGAAAGGGGGGAAAAGATTTAGGAAGGAAAAGGGAGAAGCTCTCAGGGGGGGGAAAGGCCTTAGGGGGGAAAGGGGGAAAAGGATCTCAGCGGGGGGGGGGGGGAAGATCTTAGGGAGGAAAGGGAGAAGATCTGGGGACAAATGATCTCAACATGGAAAGGGGTGGAAAAGATCTTAGGGCGGAAAGGGAGAAGATCTGGGAGAAAAAAGGCCAACAGGGAAAGGGGGGAAAGACCTAAGGAAGGAAAAGGGAGAAGCTCTCAGGGGGGGGAAAGGCCTGAGGGGGGAAAGGGTGGGAAGGATCTCAACAGGGAAAGGGGGGGAAACAATCTTAGGAAGGAAAGGGAGAAGATCTGGAAAGGCCTTAAAGGGAATGGGGGAAAGGATCTCAACAGGGAAAGGGGGCAAAGGATCTTAAGGAGGAATAGGAAGAAGATCTCAGCGGGGGGAAAGGCCGTAGGGGGGAAAGAGGGGAAAGGATCTCAACAGGGAAAGGGGGGGAAAGATCTCAGTGAAAAAGGGAGAAGGTCCCAGGCAGGGGGGGGAAAGGGGGAAAGGATCTCAACAGGGACAGGGGGCAAAGGATCTTAGGGAGGAAAAGGGAGAAGATCTGAAAAGGCCTTAGGGGGAAAAGGGGGAAAGGAGCTCAACAGGGAAAGGTGGGAGAAGATCCTAGGGAGGAAAAGGGAGAAGATCTCGGGGGAAAAGATCTTGGGGAGGACAAGGGAGAAGATCTCAGGGGGGGGAAGGCCTTAGGGGGGAAAGGGGGGAAAGGATCTCAACAGGGAAAGGGGGCAAAGGATCTTAGGGAGGAAAAGGGAGAAGATCTTGGGGGGGAAAACGCCTTAGGCCTTAGGGGGGAAAGGGGGGATGGATCTCAACAGGGAAAAATGGCAAAAGATCTTAGGGAGGAAAAGGGAGAAGATCTCAGGGGGGGAAAGGCCTCAGGGGGGAAAGGGGGGAAAGGATCTGAGCAGGGAAAGGGGGGGAAAGATCTTAGGGAGGAAAGGGAGAAGATCTGGGGGCAAAGGCCTTAGGGGGGAAAGGGGAGAAATGATCTCAACAGGGAAAGGGGTGGAAAAGATCTTAGGGAGGAAAGGGAGAAGATCTCGGGGAAAAAAGGCCAACAGGGACAGGGGGGAAAGATCTAAGGAAGGAGAAGCTCTCAGGGGGGGAAAGGCCTCAGGGAAAGGGTGGGAAGGATCTCAACAGGGAAAGGGGGGAAACAATCTTAGGAAGGAACGGGGGGGGGAAGATCTTAGGGAGGAAAGGGAGAAGATCTGGGAGAAAAGGACTTAAGGGGGAAAGGGGGGAAAAGATCTTTGGGAGGAAAATGGAAATCTTTCTCGGGGGGAACAGGCCCTAAGGGGCAATCGGGGGACAGGATCTCAATCGGGAAAGAGAGAAAACAACTTTGGGAAGAGAAGGGTGGAGATCTTGGGGGGAAAAGGCCTTAGGGGGGAAACGGGGGCAAGGATCTTAAGCGGGAAAGGGGGGAAGAGATCTTAGGGAGGCAAAGGGAGACGAACTCAGGGAAAAGGACTTAGGGAGGAAAGGGGGGGAAAGATCTTTGGGAGGAAAAGGGAGAAGAACTGAGGGTGGGAAAAGGCCTTAGAAGGAAAAGGGGGGAAATAAATGATCTCAACAAGGAACTGGGGGGGGGTTCACCAGCATAGGCAACATCCCCAGCATCACTTGCATCATCCGCATCCTTGGCAGGCGCTGATGCGGATGATGCAGGTGATGCTGGCGATGTGCCGCTGGAGCTGCTAAGGATGCGAACGCGCACCCGGGGGGAATCGAACACCCCAATGTTTTTGACAAACTGAGTTGCGCAAGCCCGCACAATGAACAGATTTAGTGAAGCGTCTTCGAATCACCGCGTGGTACGTGGACCCCCCCCCGCCCCGCAATAGTCTGAATAGGGGAGGGGTAACAGGTAAAGAGGTAAGGAGCATTTCTTATGTCCAACACGCCGCCTGTTGTCGGCGGATATATGTACACATGTATGTGGTGTGTTGTTTGCTTTGCGTGGCACCATTGTTCCCCAGATGGGTGCCGTGTTTTGTTTAGAGTACCCTCTTGCGTTGTTTCTTGGCCTGTCATCGAGGGCAGCCGAGAAACACATCCCATTTTGGGATGTCCCCACATGAGGATCCAAAAAAGGGATAGACGCAATGGTCACAGGGGTCCCAGTTCTCCCACAACAAAATGCTAAATTGAGAAGCTCCAACGGGCAACATGGAACTTTGCTCGAAAAAGATGTGGGTGTTTCTCCAGTGACCAAGACTGTTGTCTAGGTCCCCCAGTAGTGCCCTTTTACACTTTTTTCGGGGAGGGTTCACCTACTACAATAGTCTACAGAAAAAATGGGTACCCTTATTCTAACCTCTCTACTGGAGGACCTAGTTGTTTTTCCTTCCGGATGTCAGTAAACCGCAGAAATCAGTCCAAGCAGATGGGAGCAACCCAGCGAGGTGGCGTCGGAGCCGAGGGCCTTGCCCTGCGCCGCGCCGCTGAGCGTGGGCTTGGCGGAGGAGACACCGGAGTTTGGGTCCAGGTTCCCATGGACGGCGGGGTCCTGGTTACCGTGTTGGACCCGTGGAACACGGCGGGTTGGCTATAGCGGCGACACATTTCCATGGAAGACAGGATTCACTCCCCGGCTTTGACTTGAACGGCCTTGCGCACAGGTCCCAAGTGGGCTGGATAGGTGGAGCTGGGTGAATCAGTAGTATGCTGTTTTAATCTCTTGGTGGCTTCGGACAGGGCACATCCTCATTTCATCTAGCTTTTACAGCTGGAACAGGCCGGACTGTTCATGCCAACCCATTCAGGGTACGGGGAAACCGCTGAGTGGTAGAACCAAGGGAGGCTAGGCTTCGTACCGTGTTTGACGACCCGGTACAGTGAATTATATTTGCGCTGGAGATAGTCATCCTTGGCATTTGGAGACTGGCAATTGGCTTTTAACAAATCCAAATTCCTGTTAAAAGATACTTTCTACCCTCCCAACCATGGAATTGGGCCCTAAGATGGTCAACAGCACCTTTCTGTGGCTGTCAAACACAAAGCAAAACAAGGGCTAAGGTTGCCCAACGGACTATGTCCGGGCTTTCCCACGCTGTTTTAATATATCCGGGTAGACCCAGCGGACTATCAACCAGACCCAGAAAGCCATAAGTCCAGTTTCTGGGCCCCGGACCATGCGAGGAGCCCAGTTGCCGCGAAGGCTACCAGATCCCCATGGGCGGCGCTTGTAGCGCCCGGTGTCAATCAGGCGAGAATCATGAAACATAGCGACCCAGATATCGAATGTCTCGTTCAGTGAGCTTTGGGCTGTTTTGGTGAAAAGGCCGTTTGGTTGAGCAGATGCATGATTTTAGCACTTGTAGTACTAGGCCACCTCCCCTCGCGTGGGGTGGGGTGGGGGGGGTTGAACCCGCGGCATGTTATCCGGCTCGACTGTGCCTGGCTGGCCAGCGAGTGCCTGGACTGGTTGGCCACGTGGAATTGCCAACGGTTTCTGTGCTGTTTGGCTGAAGGCGGCTGATGTTGGTGGACTGTTTCTTTGGGTGAGTTGTCCTGATGTGTGCTTGATTCGGTTGCCCTGGTTGTGCGCCTGACTTTTGCAGGGTCTACTTGTTCAATCCCTTCCGTGCAAAGTAGATGCACCCCGCCCCCAAGAAAAAGGTTCAGTGATAAGCTTCAAACGGTTTCTTGAAGGGTGACCTGAGTTGTATTTCAGCGTTACGGCGAATATTGGATTTTCCGATTCTGTCTTTGACGGGTTGTGATGGATGTGACCAACCCAACCAGCCCAACCCAACTCAACCCAACCAGCCCAACCAGCCAACCCAACTGACCCAACCCACCCAACCAACCCAACCCACCCAACCAACCCAACCAACCCAACCAACCCAACCAACCCAACCAACCCAACCAACCCAACCGACCCAACCAACCCAACCAACCCACCCAACAAATCAACCAAGCAATCACGCAATGAAGAAATTAGGTAAGCAAGCAAGCAAGCAATCAACCAACCGACCATCCAATGAATCAATCGATCGATCGATCAATCAATCAAACAATCAATCAATCCAAGCGGAAGCTCCTTTATTTCCAACAAAGCTGCCCGTCGAAGCTTCTTGTTCAATGGCATGAACACTTCCGGGCTTTGATTCCTCTCTGAGCTGGACTTGAGACTTGGGCAGACCATTGTGGTAAACAAAAAGTTTGGGCTTCTGGCCAATTCACCCAGTGGTGTTTGCTTCAAAGTCCAGGTGGTTGCTTGCAGCATCTCGCAGCCTTGCAGCTGCCAGGCTATCAGCCCACTGTTGCCAAGCTCATGTGCGATGTCAACGGTTCAGGCACCGGCGCGACTTGGGGCTTGTGATGGAGCTTCATGAACTTGTGGCTTCCCTTGCTCTCCCAAAAGGGGGCGCGCGGGGTTCAATCATCCACCAGTTCTTCACCTTGTTTGCAGCTCTTTTAGTATGCGTTTAGCGCCCGCTTGGGAAGGGGGTTTACAAACACGGTGCATCCAAGCTACACCGACCCTGACGTCAAGACTATTTCGGCGACGTGCTAGCTTGGATGTCCTTCCGGAATTGGGGACTTGCGGGGAGTCGTCTTGATGCCCCGACTGGTGAACGGAACGCCAGCTCAGTGGTGTGTTCAAGTTGTTCCATTTTGTTCCATTGAGTGTACTCGTTGAAGTCAGGGTTGGCAGCTAGCCTTGCTTGATATCAGCCGACTCGCAGTTGCACTCCTCATTGCCCAGCATTCCTATGTATGTATCTATGTGTATAGCAATTACACCTTCGATGCCTCGGGCAGGTCTGCCTTTCTCGGTTTTGGGGGTAGAAGGCTTCCACCATGATTCCTCTTTGCAGGCGTTAGGTAGAGCTTGCAGGTTCGGAGCGAGCGCCAGGCCAACTGGTTCCCGGCAGCTTCCAGTGCTACCGGGAGCGGAGCAACAGCACAGTTGAGTTGCCACTGGCTCAGCTTTCGCGGGGCAAAAGGGTTTGAGACGACCTCGAGGTGTTTTTGTCGACCTGAGAAGGAAGTTGGCCCCAGGTTTCCTGTCGGCCAAACCTGCGAGGTTTCAGCCGGCAAAGTTGCGGCGGAGGGCTCGAGAGTTCAATCCCCAGGCCCGAGTCCAAGAGCAATGAGAGAAGGTCCTGGATTTGTTGATTTGGGACTGAGGACTTTGACAGAAGCCTAGTTCCTTTTGTGGGTTCCATCCTTAGGAACCGGACTGGTTGTTGAGCTGGGGATATGCTTGGACTCAGAATGGAGCCGATTCATCCATCAGGGATGCTCCCCTAAGATAAACAAATGGAAGCCAAAGGATTTTGCGCCCCTTCCTTGCGGCGCATGTTTTGTGAGCACGGGTCCCAAAAGCCTTTGAGGTGCCAAGAGGATAGACAATTCCTATGATCACGACTGTATTTGGTTCCAAAGTGCCCATGTCAAGTCCACTGTACTTCTTGTAGGTCCCCCAGTAGTGCCCTTTTGCCCTTTTTTGGGCGGAGGATTCTATCCTCTCTACTGGAGGACCTAGTCTTGTTTTAGGTCCTTTGATTTTGTTTGATTTGGGCCGCAGGAGGTGCGAAGCCCGACCTGCCGAGGTCTTCCGATCCCGTCCTGGTGAACGCCTCGGTGGGCCGGGGGCCCGATGGTTTCCGGGCCGAAGCCTTGGGGTCTTTTTGGCTTGCGAGGGGCATCGAATCCTTTTTTTCTGGTGTCACACCTCATTTTTGGGATCGCCTTGGAGCTTGCAAGTTTCACGAAATATGGACCATCAAGTATAGTTAGGATTTTCGGGTGGGCAAAAGCTGAGGTAGGAGCCAGGTCATGAACGCCCGCTAAGGGAAACGCAACTGAGCAGAGTGTTTTTTGGCCATGTATTTGTTTTGCTTGATTAGCATTCGGGGGAACTATCTCTATGCTGGGAAGGCACCGCATAGGCAAGTCTGTTGAGGAGAAGGATTGCGAAGTCAGTCCACGTAGGCTGTTGAGAGTCCAACGTAGGCAGGGTCGTGTAGGCGTGTTTCGCCATTCGGGTTCTGTGATCCCGATTTTTCCAGGCCCTGCACACAGGCAATTTTGGTAGCCAGAGGCCTTTCGCAGCTTGCGGCGAGAATGCATCCCAAAGCACCCCCAAGCGGAAGAATAACAACGCCAAGTTGCTGCCAAGAACTACCGTCAACGTCGAGCTTCCTGGAGGTGCTCGCATCATGCGCCGCTTTGTCTTCATTTGAGTCCTCGTCTGACAAGTCTCCCAAAGCAGCGTAGCGCCCGCGACAAATGCGCGTAGGTACTGCGTGTAGGCACCTGCGGCGTAGGCTTGCAGGCACCATCACCTAGGCATGGCTTCCAGTGTATAGGGACGGTCCCCCCCCCCCGAAAAAGAACTGCTCAAGAAGATGGTTGAACGACGCTGGCTTGAACATATTTGGACCTTGCCAAAACCTGTCGTCCCATGGCCGATCATACCTGGCTTCTGCACTTGGCGGATGGGCTCGTTTGGAAGTGTTTACTTGCTTGCTTGTAGCGACAGTAGGCAGTGATCACATGCTCGCGCGTATTTGTAAGTTTCCAACAGGCGCGGAAACCGGCTCAGAAGCAGGCTCAGATAGAAACAGGGCGCATCATGTTGGGCAAAGGGGTCCATACTCCCCCGCTGCATCAACCCACAAGACGTTTCATTGGCGACATACGATGTAGGAGTCATTTGGCGGCATTGTGTTGCTGATGTTTCCATTCACGTGCAAACCTGACTGATGGTTGGTCAAACTCCTTGCGGATTAAACATGACAGCAAGCCTCCCATGCCGAGCACCTCAGACCGCCTCCTAGTTGCGGGCAAGTAGGCGATGCCGCACCCTAAGATGTTGTTCTTGAAGTGTTGGTGTGTCTGTATCAAAACTACCTGCCCTGTTGGGGACAGACAAAACGGGCGCGGCATGAAGACACTTTTTTTGCAGATTCGTTAGTCTTGTTTCGTAGGATTGGCGTAAGGGAGCTTGTTCTGAGTCAGAACGTGTAGGCTCTGAGTGTGGCCACGTAGGCGATGCCTAGACTTTACATGGGCAAGCAGTATAAAGTCCCGCAGAAGCAAACAAAGTACTGCTCAGTTTTCCAGTGCCGCCCTTGCTTCTATTTTTGTTCAATTCCCCAAAAAGCCGAATATCCAGAAAACCCGCCCCCCCCCCCCATCTTCTCATGAACATCCACTAGGCCACTTACCATATTTTTTGTTGTTTGATGCTTCCCAGTTCGGTGGCACCCAAATCGCTTCGGGTTGGCTAGACAGAGTATTGAGAACCGAGTCGGACACAAAGATGCTGTTCTGGGTCCGGATGTGCATCAAGAAGCAGGTTTCGCATGGGTTTCCCTTTAGCGTCATGCGAGGGCCTCAGACAGTGGATTCAGGTTTGGACATCTTCCCGGAAAGGCTGAACACTCCGCCAGCAGCGCCCGCCTGAGAGAAGCGCGCGAATGCTTATTCGGAAGTGAAGCCCAGGCCAAACTGGGCTTCGATTTGTTTCGTCCCGTGCCAGTGGGTGTCTTCCTTTTCCCTTGCAACTGAGGGATTGTGTCTTTAAAGTATTCTACCAAGAAAAGGGTGGAAATGCACTGCAGGTTTGGGTTTTGGGTTTTTTACTTAAAACCCACCAACCGACAGCGGGGGGACCAAGACTGAACCAACAGACACACTCATAATGTGATGGGCCCAATCATGAAAGCATATCCTTACATAGTTCATTGGCTGGATTTACTCTTCCTGCTGCTTTCCTACCAAACATTCGCTACTTGAAAACTAAGCGTCTCTCATGTGAGCTACCACACATGTATCCTTCATCTAGGCGCTTGCCCTTTGGTGGAGGGTGGGGGATTTGTAAGCCACTGTTTCAGCTAAACAATTCAACGCCTGTATTCTTTGTCAGTCCTACTTACAACTTGTCTTTTTGCAAGCTGCCAGTGCCGCATTGGTCAGTAACATGCCTGTTGTTTTCGTTGTCAGGTGAGGCGGTTTGGGGCTTCAACCTCCGATGAGTTGCTGAATAGTTGTGGCGTGCCCACTGGGGATGATCAGGCTTCAGTCACAACAACAGCAGCTTTGTCTCTGTTAGTTGTGCGTGAGTATAACGTGAGCACTCCTGTGTGTAGGTGGGAACGACCTTGTTTTGGCGTGAAGCGTGAACCTTGGGGGGGAAGGGAGGGGGGGCGCTTAACAAGGCAACGCAACCTGCATCGAGATTGCCTGAGATACCTGAAACGTGTGTCGTTGTTTTTGGCTTGGGAGCGTGAGTTTAGCCTGAGCGCCCTGTGTGTGAACGAGATTGCGTGTGCCGCGAGCGGGGTGAGGATCCTCCTGAGCATTGACCACAACAACGGGGAAGTTGCAAAGGCCATGATGGACCATCAAGAAACCCTGAAATGAGCATTTTTAGGAGTGTCCTCAACAAGGTGGCACGTATCAGTTTACACCGCAGTGTTTGGCGGGTGGCAAGAAATTGAAGGTATTGGAGTGGAATAGGATGAAACCCCCCTGGGCGAGAGCAGGTCTTGAAACGAAGGCGCAGGAATACTGGCTCTTTTGAATTGCGATAGAGGAGAAGCAACCAGAAGAGTACGGGAAGACCACAGGAAGAGTGCGGGAAGACTACAGGAATACTACTGGAAGACCATGGGAAGAGACTAACCAATCAAATTCTGGAAAAGGAAGGCGAGTCTTTAGAGCAAGGATTTAGAGATGCTCCAGTTTGGCGGCGGCGGCGGCTGCTCATGTGACGACGACTGGGTTACAGTTCTCACTGTAAATCGTCAATCCCTTCAGGGGCCCGATGATGGTTTGCTTAATTCCTTGTTCACATTGCACGCATCCGTATGTTTGCGTTCATTGGCCCATGTTAAGTCTATTTGAAGTGAGCTCGGCTTGCCAAGTAGGAAGCGTTTGTGCGATCGACTAAGTGATATTATCGTCAATCTCCCAATGCAACACGCCAGGACAATGACATTGCAGCGATAGACAGGCCCACGGCAGACATTTAGCGGCAGTATAAGCATCGCCGATCTTCCAGAAGCCAGCATCATGTTCAAGTGAGCTTGTTGGTTCTCAGCAGAGAATGAGGGAATACCCCTTCTTGTGGTTTCCTGTAAGGGGATCCCCTTCCGTTCATTCAGTAGAACTCAGAACTTAGCCTGTCACCGGTTGCAACTGGGATTTTTGGGGTACTGTTCACTTGGTTGGCTCCGCGTGGAACCCAAATGAGAACTAGCTTTTTGTGTTCAAGTTGTAGACAGACCCTGAGATTTGGAAGCTTCCAACCAGGGGTTCCTTCCTTTGGGATCGGGGTATTTAATGTTTTTGTTTAGCTTGGAATGGGTTTGTCTCATGGGGGCCCAAACATGTGTGTGTTCAATCGGTATCTCTGAAAAACCCACAAAACAAGGCTGGTCTTTGGTTTGCAATAGCCTATTAGAGCTTTTGGCACAAACAAAGGTCTAACGACCTTTTGCTCGGAGCAACCCAGACAAAGGGTTCCCTCAAAAGAGTCAAACCCAAGATGCCTTCCTTTTTTCGGATGGGTTGAAAACCAGAAGGAAACCAACCAACTAAAGTTGTTGGGCTCTCAAAACAGGATTTGGGGCCCCCAACGTGGTTTGCTTGCTTTTTGCTTTCCGTTTCAACACCCCCTTTTTTCGGGCTCATCCCATTTGGACAAAGGAACGCGGCAAGGAAAAGGTGGGCTGGCTGTGCTTCGCATTACCAGCTCAGTTATAACTGAGCGAAGCTCCTGAAGTTCTTAGCAAGCCCCTGGGTCGCCTTTCCTTTCGATGAGCCTCGTCCGTGTCACACGGTCAGCCGTGTTTCAAGGGGTTGTGCGGGGGAAAGGCAAGATCAAAAAGCTCGTAATCATTCTGCAAACTTGTACCATTCTGCGAGTAAAGGCAAGATGGTCAGCTGTGACTAGGTCCCCCAGTAGTGTGCCCTTTTACCCTTTTTTGGGGGAGGCTTGCTTCCCCTACTAAAATAGACCACAGAAAAAAAAGTTGGTCGCCTTACTCTAACCTCTCCACTGGAGGAAGGTGATCAAACCGCTGTCGTGCCTTGTGCCATTCACGAGCTGTCGGGGTCAGCGCCGATGGCCGTGAGGTGCTCCTGGAGCTGCCGACTGCCCGGGCCTTCCTGGCGCAGCTGCCACCGGCCCAGGCGAAAAGTCGGCCCGGGCCGGGCGCTTTGGATCTTCTAAGGCTCCTGCCCCGTGGTTTGCTGGGGTTAAATTGGGGAAACGAAGAAGTGGTGGAGTGGGGTGGGCTCAGGTAAGGGTGCGGGTGGGCTGGGGTGGGGTGGGGTAGGGGGCATCTGTGCACGTGCGGGTGCGTGTGCGAGTCTGTGTGTGTTTCTTTTGTTTGTGAAGGCTTTTGGTATGCGAACCACCTGTCATAAAGTAGGGTGTAAAACGAGCGAAAGTCATGTAGGTTTACTTCGTGAATTTCTGATTTTCAGGAATCAGAAGCATGACTTGGTGCACAAGCAATCTCTCTCCACATCCAAACCAGAGTCTATAGTCAATGGTCTATAAGCCTTGTTTGGTGGGAGAATATCAAGATGGGTTTTGTCCCATATCAGCATTATCCTCACTCATCTACTTCCAGGAGTTATCCCCTCATCCTATTCACACTCACATCTTATTGGCTCTCAGCACTTAAGCATTACCCACCTGTCAACACTGAAGGATGATCCACCTGTCAGCATATACTGATCATCTGTGCCAAGCCTTTCATGTCATTTGGACTGTGCATTGTAATGATCCTTCCTGCAATATGACGCCAGATGGAATTATGATGATTATCATTTTCATGTTTTGTCCATTCCTTTCCAGGTTCTTACACACTTTTTGGTCCTAATGAACGACATGAAATAAAAGGGAATGGACACACCCTTTCTCAAACAACAGGCGCGAGCGAGAGAGAGAGAGAGAGAGAGAGAGAGAGCGCAAAGGGCGAGAGTTGCTGGGTTGATTCCCTTTAAGCTACGACCTGGTTCTTCTTGAGTATGAACATCAGAAGCTAGGGGGTATCAAAACCAACATGTGCACGTGTTTTTGCCCAGGAGTCATTTGTATCTTGGTGGTGTCATATGTTTAGAGTTGGTCGTGCTTTCAACGGACACCTCCCGAGTTTCACATGAAACCCAACTTGGGAGGTCCCCCAATTCGGCGATTCCTTTCTAAAAGAGCGTAGGTGTTTTGCAACGCCCGAAAGGAGATTCCAGCTGAGTGCCTTTGCGCGGAGGTGCAGCCGGGCTTGCGCCAGGCCGCGGCGGCGGCGTGCCGCGCCTCGGTGTCCCAGGCCGGTGTGGCATGCGGGATGCTTTTGAACCAGCTCA